CTGGTGACCGGTCACAGCGGGATGTCACTCCATTCCCCACCTCTCTTTGAGCTCAGCCATCCAACCCATTTTTACCCCATGAAGTCCAAGCCCATCCAAGCTGTGAGCAATCAGTTTCTCCAGGAGAATGACCAGGTCTTCTGCTGAAGAAATGGAGCAGCACCTGCCAGCACCTGCAGTTCCTGCCCAGCTCAACCTGCTTTCTCCATCCCCAGCAGCTGCAGAAAATGAAGGTGGGGAGAGTTACCAGCTTGGGGTTGTGACTTCAAACTTCCTTGATTAAAGACTCCCCACATCTTCTTCTTCACACCTCTGGGCTGTGAAACTCCTGAGTTTCAGAGACTCCTGAAAAAGGAAAAATATCTTTACATGATGTTGTGTCAAGGAGCTTTCAGCTTGGAGAAGGACACCAGCTGGGTTCTTCTTCGTCTCTCCCTCCACTGAAAATCCTCCATTTCTGAGGACCTTGCACGTGTGGCCGTTGGGTTGATCTTGTTCTTCAAGACAAGAATCTTCTTAAGTCTTCAGGATTTGCCATTAACATCAAATTTAGAAAAGCCAGGAGCTGCTTTTGTACAAGCAAACGGGGAAGCAGCTTTGCTGGGTGCTGAGAACATCTGTGTGACCGTGGGAATGAACGTGGAGAGCCTGTTCAGGGGCTGGGGTGGGATGTGCTGGAGCAGGAGCTTCTCCTGTACCTACCTGCACGGGCACAACGTGGGTTTGGCTCCAACAGCTTTTCCTGCTTGTTGTTAAAATTCAAAGCAGTTTGGGAAACTGAAACCTGTCTCCCAGTTTGGCTGCTGGAGTTCTCGGGGTTGTTTGGCTTTTCTTGGGTTTTTGTTTGGTTTTTGGTTTGGTTTGGGGTGTTTTTTTGGCATGAAGCCTCCTCTCAGCTCACGCCAGGGCTGGGAAGGGTGAGGCTGCTCTGAAAGGGGAGATGTCACGAGGGGGAGAGATGAAGAGCCAGAAGCAGCTGTTGGAGCACCCTGTGCCTCTCCGAGACCCTCTCTGGGTGCCAGCACCCTGGTTCTGTGCAGGAGCCGATTCTCCCCCGTGGTGGCCATGGGCCAAGTCCACCCTGTGGCTCTGGAGGTGGCTCAGCAGCAGCTCCAGGGCTGGGGGATGTCTGCAAACCCCCTTCCCCACCACTGACCATTGTGAAAGAGCTGAAAGCAGGAGACCTGGAGAAGCTGCAGAGCTGGGACCTTGAGGACACCCCACCCACCACCTCATTTCCCCCCTCCCAGCCTGTCCCGTTTCTCATTGCCCCATGTCACTCGGCACTCACAGACTTGGCCAAGCTGTTTGGCTTGATGCTCGTGAAGTTCATCTTCTCCAAAAACATCCGCCCACAAAGTCTCTCTCCCTTCCAGGAAAGCAGAGTGACCCATGGCCCCGCTGGCTCTGAGCCCGGCTCTCCCAGCCCAGCCACGGAGCTGCTTCACCTGCGACGCCGCCGGCTCCTGCTTGGCAAAGGGCAACCTCCTGCCTGCTCCACAGAGCCACTTTCAACTCGATTTCAAAGGGAAACTGGGAACCACCTGCTGTGTTTCCTGCAGCCCCAGGTTGTCTGATCCAAGCCTGAGCTCCCACACCAAAGGCAGCTCCCACCCCACTCAGGGGCCAGGGATGTGGGAGCTGGGACGAGCTGGGTGCTCCCTGGGTGGGAGGTTTTGGGCCAGTGAAGATTTTAAGAACCCTGGGAGCACGATTCCTGTTGTTGGTCACCACGGTGGTTGAGAAATCAGGAGAAGGAACAAGAGGTGGAAGAAAAAGGGACCGTTTTGGAGGTGGTTTGGAAGGGTGGGTTTGTGGGGTGGGGGTTGGTGTGTTTGGGGGTCTTTGCTAAGCGCTGTCACGGGGGATGCAGCTGCCTTGTGTGCTCCTGGTTGTGTTCGTGTTGGGCACCCACACGTGGGGTCAGTGAGTGGGGGGACATGGATGGTGCTGGCACCAGCTCCCAGCCCCAGCCAAGGCTGTGAGGAGAGAGGGCTGGGGTCCAGGAAGGTGTCGGGTGGGCAGTGGGAGCAAAGAGCAGCCCCTGCCTGGCCAAGGCATGGTGGGGAACCAGCTCATCTCAGCACCCTGGGGTTGGGCTGGGCTTGGTGACCTCAACGTGGAGCAACACCAGGATCCCCCTGAGAGCTGATGGGAGATGGGGAAGAAGAGGAGAGGGGCCAGGCTCTGGTCTGGGGAAGGACAGTGGTGGAGCTGGTGGTGGAGCTGCCCCTGGTCCTGGGGGAGATGAAGGCACCAGGATTGGGATTGAGTCTCCCTGGGAAC